AGCGAACAAATATGAAAATAATACACGTTTTTACAACATCATTTATCATTTCTGAGACCAATATATTTGTATAAAACATATCGTCATCCCTCTCATTATGTTTTACAAAATAGAGACAACAATATATTACTAGCTGTCGCCCGCGACTTCGTCAGCGCGTGATTAAAAATAGATGTTGGCCGATTCTCAGACCTACTCAATATGCCCACAAAATACCATGAGTATCGGTCAAGCCATTTCGGAGGAGTATGGGAACGAAAATTGTGACACGAGAATTTTATTTATAAGATTAACGGTGATTTCGGTGTCAAAAAAACCACGGTTAATATTGTAAAGATCATCATCAGCTCACTATACACGTCCACACCGAGGGGCTCGGAGCCTACCCTAATTTAAGTGGTGATTAGGCCATAGTCAACCACTGGCCAAGTGCAGGTTGGTTGACTTCACACATATCTTTGAATTATAATACTTCTCAGATATGTACAGGTTGCATCACGATGTTTTCCTTCACCGTAAGAACGTCGGAGTAAAGATACAAATTGAATATGTTCTAATTACAATGCTATACAATTTAAAGCAAATACCTTTAAGAATGTTAAACAATAGGAAATTATCTTATATAAACGAGTAACATATTAACAAAACAAGCAAGATATCAAGTAGAATGTTTACGATATATAACTTACAAGTTGTTCAATGATAAAATATAAACTACGACAAATCACTAGTAAATAGTTAAATTAGGTTATAATATTTTGCTGTTCTACTATAAATATCCTATTGAAAGAAAATTACTTTTATTATTATAAAGATACTAGATGTGGCCGGCGACTTTGTCCGCGTTGGATTAAATAATAGATAGAAGCCGATTCTCAGAATTACTAAATATGCATATGAATTTTCAGAAAAATCAGTCAAGCCGTTTCGGAGCAGTATGGTAACTAACATTGTGAGACGATTATTTTATATAATATATAAGATTCATAAATCATTAATTTTATGTACTTTTATTAATACTAGGCTATGCCTATGAAAGCAAGTTAAAATATAACTTAACTTATTGCATCAAGATTCATTTTCATTTAAGCGGTTTTTTGAAATGAAACCCTATAGTACCTTTAGGGTAGACAAGGCATAAGTTTTCTCGTGTCTGTGGAAAGCTAGCCTCTTCTCACGACCTGCACACAACGGGATCTTTCCCATTAATCACTCGTGTGCAGCACAAATGCATTGGTACAGTCACGATAAACTGTGCTTAGAGAAATATAAAAATTTAAAAAGTTGTATAAAATAAAAGAAATCAGACTGTTATAATGATATGCCGATGAATATCTCTTAACTAGCTGTCGCCCGAGACTACGTGAGCGCGGAATTAAAAAAAAACTTAATTAATAGTCTATGTGCTTTTGTAGACTATGTTCTATATACGTGCCAAATTTCGGATGCTAAAAATTGTATTTTGATTTGATTGATTAAGGAAAGTTATCTTACTAACATTATAAATGCGAATGTTTAGATGGATGGATGGATGTTTTTTAGAAGGTATCATCGGACTTCTCCATAGATCTCACTGAAATTTGGCACCGATGTAAAACACAGCCTGAAAGAACACAAAAGCAGTAAGCTTTTTTTTAATTCCGCGTGGACAGGGTCGCGGGAGACAGCTAGTATTTTATAAATTAAACATGACACTTACTATCTTACTATAGCGTAGCAGAAGTGATACAACCAATCGCAAAACTATCACATCAATTCTTCATAAAATAAATTTTATAAAAAATAAACTATTATCTTTCACACTGTCAACGTATGTGACTGTACTGACTTGAGGACGGGGATCGCGTTTCATGTATGCGATGCGAATTCGCGGGATAGGTAAGAATGTTCGGTGCGACATGTTACAAGAAATTATACACAACACCTGCCTAAGGCACTTAAGTTTCAAAGAAATTAAAATCACATTTTGTATAAAATAAACCTATGAATTACAACACAAACAATTGTGATTATAACTAGCTGTAGCCTGCGACTCCGTCCGCACGTAATTGCTTGATTAGTAGCCTATGTGTACTTCTAGACTATGTTTTACATCTATGCCAAATTTCAACGAGATCCATGCAGCCGTTCTGAGGATACCTCAAACAAACATCCATCTATCTAAACATTCGCATTTAAAATAATCTTATTATTTAACAAACATCCAAACTTATTTGTACATACCAAAAAACATAAATATATACTCTACTAAATTCACTAACTTTCGTTTAAATGAATAAACTACTCTAAAATAAGATTACACTTGAATTTTCATCTTACTAACATAATAAACGCGAATGTTTAGATGGATGGATGTTTGTTTGAAGGTATCACCAGAACGGCTTAACGGATCACGATGAAATTTGGCATACATGTAGAACATAGCCCGGAAGAGCACATAGGCTACTAATTATGTTTTTTTAACTACTGATAGAGTCACGGGCGATAGCTAGTGGTAAGTAATTTTTCCTACTTTACAATGAGATTACCTCTCATATAGATACGTGTTGATTTAACACTTGAATTTTCACCAAACTGAGTAACAAACGTATGCAGACACTGAGACAACAAAGATTGCAAACAATGCTTACCGTTGCAAGGCAATTTAACTAAACATATTTGTTAAACTTTGCAAATATAATGTTGATAGATATATGTAAAGGATACGTACATATTTTCTTACTAAAACAAGAATAACAGCTATCTTACTGATATTATCAATGCGAATGTTTGGACGGATGGATGGATGTATGGATGGATGTTTATTTGTAGGTATCTATAAAAATACCACGATTACATTTGACATGCATATAGAACATAGTCTGGAAGAACACATAGGCTACTTAATTATGTCTTTTTTTAATTCCGCGCGGACGGAGTCGGGGGTGAAAGCTAGTGTATTTATAAGCAGGCCTATTTTATTACTTCTATCGTTTTACTGAAGAATCAAATAATAATTAAAATAAAGTCGTATAACTTATTTACACAAAATTATCAATATGATACTAGAAAATAACATACGAGATAAATAATTTCTTGCACATATAAATAACTAGCTGTCGCCCGTGACTACGTCTGCGCCAGATTGAAAAATAGATAGTAGCCGATTCTCGAAACCTACTGGATATGCATATAAAATTTCATAAAAATCGGTCAAGCCGTTTCGAAGGAGTATGGTCACTAACAATGTGACAAGAGAATTTTATTTATAAGATAACCGTGGATTACCACTTATGATGCTCAAAGAAAAACATAGTCTCATCACGTAGTCTTTAAAGAAAGAAAAGGTAATGTTTTGTCGAGTTTTATTTGAGTTATTCGGCAGTGAAAACCCACGATAAATGATGGTATATATTCAATCTATAAACGGTAGCTATATTCAAGATTTTGTTAACACTGGCGTATCGATTTCCAATGCTTTAATAGATCGATTGGCAACGCTTCTATACAATTTAAATCGATTTCTCGGACACCAATGATTAACTGTATTTAGATATAAATGTTTATAAAGGTACGCGTCCATTGGCTCGCGCCGGACACACCGCACACGCGGCCCGCAACGCAATACTTGATGATAAATTCCTTCTTAAAATAATACAAAGCACATTAAAATCCGTTGCGGGCCGTACGTACGGTGCGTCTGAAGCAGGCCAATGAACGCGTACCTTAAAAAAAGATAATTAATGAACAAATAAAACATTTTTTTAATGATAAGGTAAATCTATATTAATATTATAAAAGGGGAATATTTGATTGTTTGCATTGAATAGACTCCGAAATTACTGTATCGTTTTGAAAAATTCTTTCACTATTGGGAAGCTACACTATCCCTGGATGATATAGGCTGTATTTTGTATTAGATTTTTATATTCACACAGATGAATTCTTATAAAAATAATAATCAAATTTTATTCGCGTGTTCCCTTTGCATTCCTAAACCACTGGATAGATTTCGATTAAACTTTGGTAGGATATTCCGAAGATACCAAAGTAGGTTTTTGACCTAAAAAAATTAAAAATATAATAGGTATTTTAATTTCTAACGAGTAAATTTTTTGCACAAAGATTTACACTTTTAACATTCACAAAATAAACAGTCATATGATAAAGAAAAATAAAATTCCATTTTCATATGTAGTCTACACTCTTGGCGTTCTCCGTGAGAATAAAAAATGTAAAAAAAAAATGAACGTCATAAAAATCTCACAACTAATTAGCCGCAAACATAGGAGTGAGGACTCCACAAGCCGGGTGTAGACAATCTCGAGTTAAGTGCAATCCTAGCTTTTTTTTCTCCCTATATCAACGTGAAGTTAAAGTAAATGAAAAACACGCAAAATGTATAAAAAGTTTACGTATATAAAAAATTTTCTTGTATGTCCGAGAACTGTGAACATACGTCAATCAATTTTTTAAGATAAGATAACGTAGTTTTGATAAATTGTGAATTAAAAAATGAATAATCGGAATATTTTATTATTAATTTTTATATTTTAATTTAATTTTATAATATGTTGCACTGCCTATTTAAAAAATATATTTTTATGGCATTCTAAAAAAAGTTCACTTTCAAAGTTTACAAAACACAACACAATAAGGTTTTTATAATGGTTTTCTTGCTAATATGTAATCATTAGACATATTTTTTTTTATTTTTTACGTTTTGATTTTTAGTTTTTTTTTTCTGACAATTTTTAAACTCTTCAATATGTTCTGAAAAATTTTACTTTTAAAATAAAGTTGTGGTACGTTTTAAAAAAATGTTTTTACGTCTCGTATAAAACTACAATGTAGAGAACAAAGCAAGAAGTAAACATTTCGTTATTTATGTTAACAAAACGCTATTTAAAGATATCTACCAAAACAGCCAGTAACATAAGTTTTCAGACGATTGTTAAAAAAAATAGAAATAAAAAGTAGTTTTTTTTTCTTTTTTGTTTAAAAATGGAATCAAAACTTACCACCAATTTCCGGTGACAACTTCAATAAAGAGAATAAAAAAACACAAAACTTTCCAAAATAGCTTCATGATGCTCCAATGTTTGACAAAACTTAATTTACCGTTACCACTCAAACGTCCTATTTAGAATTTAAATCACTTCAAAATAGTTGCTCACTTCACAAAAACACAGCAAAACATCAAAACAATAACAAAAAAATAAATTTGCATTTTCTTTATAAAAAAAAATCAAACGAAACAGTAATTAGGCACAAAACAATATCATTTCGATCACAAACAATTTCTTATTACATTCAAATATAGAAAAAAAAACTTTTCAAAAACTTTCTTAAAAGTTTATGACTTTCACCCAAAATCCGTAGACGAAAAAAAAACAACGAAACGTCAAAATTCAATAGCCAGACATATTAAGAAATGAATAGACAAAAAGAAGCTGTAGTGTTCCTTTTTCAAAATTCGAAAGAGACTTTGGAACGGTTACGTTTGGACGAGCGACGCGCCTGCGATCCGCGCGCATGGAAATACAAAACCAGACTGGCTTGCTTTTGAATCGTTTGTAAGTATTCCATAGGATTCGCCGGTAAGGGGAAGGGTCGTATTGGAGGGCGCGTAAATGCAATACAAGCACGAGTTCATCCTTTAAAAGCCCTACCATGGGCCACCATCCACTGCGATGCACTTCAAAATGTCAAAGCGTTTCGCTTCTTCGGGTTGCCACCATTTTTGAAATGAGAATCGAAGCCCAATAAATTCTTTAACTTTACACTATCCAAAAAGATTTGATAAACTCTTGGTAGATTTAAAAGTATTATCAAAATTCTTTTAACAAATAATAATAGTACATATTAAGTAAAAAAAAACAGGTCTTATAGGTAAAAAAGGCAGTATCATTTCACAACTCAATAAAAGTCTGTAAAAAAACTAACCACTATTGACGTCGAAGAGAGTTGTCAAACTGTTATTTATCTGAGGGTCTATTACGAATATTTGTGATATGCGTTATCGTAACGTATCGTATCGTATATCGAAATTTGTATGAGATGTATCTTTCTACTTCACGCCTGATAGGGACTGTACAAATCATACTATTATTACAAAAGTGTATGTTTGGATTGATAGATGGATGGATGTTTGTATGAAGGTATCTCCAGAGCGGCTGAACGGGTCTCGATTTAACTTGGCATTCATATAGAACATAGTATGGGATAACACGTAGGCTACTATATTTTTTTAATTCCACGCGAACGGAGTCACGGGCGACTGCAAGTGTTTATCTAAAAATAATATCTCTAATCTTATCCAAAGCAATCTGGATACTATTAAACTCAAATCATTCTTAATGTCGGTGCATTTCAAATTATAAGGTTACTAGAAATTCCATTTGGTATACGGACGTATCTAATCATGTAACCAATTTGCAGGCAGTTGAATTAGAAACATGACAGTCTTAATCTTATCAACTATGCAAAACCTTTCACAAGATTACTATTACACGGAATCAACAATCAACTAACCTCTTTACTTAAGCCGAACAGAATAAACTATTTTTACAATAAATAACCGTGGATTTCCGAGCCCAAAATCCTCTGTTTTGTCAAAGATGAATGATAGGGGATATACAGACATTATGGTCTGTTAACCCACGGTTAATTGGTACTAATTTATCATTATTTATATGCCTTAGCATTTTTAAAAAAGCTGGCAATTCCTAAGCATTCGGGTCGAGTAAGCGCTCGCATACACGGGTTACTTCAAGTCTTTGAAATCGACATTTTTATCTGCGAATGCAAACTGCGGTCCGCGTATGGTTACCATGACCTACAAATCTGTAAAAAACAAAAAAGGGAACATCAAATAAGTCTATCTTACATAACGTTAATTTACTTTGACTATACAATTTAAATAGATAGTCAAAGTCGTAGAGCGTCGGTGGCTCAGGGGTTTAGGCACTTGAATTGTAATCTGCAGGTCCTGAGTTCAAATCAAACCATATACCAATGTGTTTTTCGATTTAAATATGTACATTTAACCGACGTTCTTACGGTGAAGGAAAACATCGTGATGCAACCTGCACATATCTGAGAAGAAATTCAAAGATATGTGTGAAGTCAACCAACCCGCACATGGCCAGCGTGGTTGACTATGTCCTAATCACCCTTAACTTAGGGTAGGCTCCAAACCCCTCGGTGGGGACGTATAGTGAGCTGATGATGATGATGATCGATTTTAAAATACAATCGTGGTTAAAAACGAAAACTAGATTTGTTAAACCCGATGTTCATTTGAGTGAAACTTATTTATAACTTGGGATTAAAAAAAAGCTGCGGTCAACAATGGGGTTTTACCTGCGGACCATTTTGTTACCCCATTTTTACGGCCGCACTAAACTGTAATTGCATCCGATCAAGCGGACCGACAGACAGCGGCATCAGCTGTTTATATATATAATTACCAACCCCTTGCTTTATAAAGCTTTCTAGTAATTATAGAAGTTTCTAGTTATTTTTTATTTCTGTATCAATGTAAAGTTAAACTTTAGTCGCTGCATATTAACAGAATTAAACTATTTATTTTTACTAATCCTCCCAATTGGTCCTAATCTTACTAATATTATAAAAGAGAATGATTAGATGGATGGATGGATGTTTATTTAAAGGTATCCCCAGAACGATTGCACAGCAAGAAATTTGGCATACATACAGAACATAGTGTGAAAGAACACATTGGTTAATAATTATGTTTTTTTTAATTCTGCGCAGACGGAGTTGCGGGCTATAGCTTGTTCAACTATAACTCATAATATACGAAGATTTTTCTTTACAAAAATACCTTAAATGTCACTTATCGTTCGCGCCTTAAATAAGATTATCAACTACTAATTTATCTTAAAACAGCTTTATTTTGTCAATTTCTGACTACGATATTATGGATGTAATGTCACTTAGTCATCCCTATGTATCCTATCCTTAGGTTTTATAGAACTTTACTCGATTTTAACATGTAGTAAGCCGGAAGCCATATAATCATTGATACCGCGAGATTATGAACACAACTCGCCCTGTTACCGATGTATCCAATCCATTAAGCTCCTACAGTTGGCTTTTACTTACATACGAAGCGAAATTGAGCAAACATTATTGCATAATCCTTGTATCCAAACGAAAGATAGTTTAAAACCAAACTGAAAAGGATAAAAGTAATAAATAATTATAAGAAAAAAACTACTGAATAGTTTTTAATAAAAAATAAAATTGTATACATGATATACATTACCTTTCGATTAAAAAAGAATCATCAAAATTGAATGATAAAGAGCGAAGCTACGAAGTAACAAACATAAACCTCAAACGAATTGAGAACCCTAAAATTAGAAATCGGTTAAAAAATCTAGAAGTGAGGTTGCGACCCTCAGGTATGTAACATATGACATTCCTCCTTTTATCTGCCAGATACATCGATCATTCGTTATTTTAGTCCACTTCCTTGTAATATCATATCACCTTTCACGCAATCCAACTCTTCTTAGTCGTACAACGAGGTACATCATTAATGCTTTAAGTTTTCCTTGTCACATCCAATTTTATTAAAAGTAAATTATATTATGTAGCCTTTAAGTAGTGATTAATTATAAATTTAGAAACAGTTCGTAAGTTGCAGAGTTATTTCCAACCGTAGTTTAAATGCTATTGACTATTACGTACAGTTTAATAGCGTCTTCAATTGTAGCTATTGCGGCCAATGTGAGTTGAACGTTAGAATGGCGATTTTCAATTGTTTTGCACATTATTTCATTAAGACTTTGCCAGTTGAGATCCTAACGAATAACATATTATAGGTACGAGGTCATTGGCCCGCGTCGGACGCACCGCACGCACAACCCGCGACCAATTTCAGTTTGCTTTACGGATTTAGTTTAAAAGACGAAATTTATCAACAAAGCAATCAGTTGCTGGCCGTCAGTGCGGTGCGTCCGGAGCGGGCAAATGTACGCGTACATTACATCGCTACAAACTTTACTGCCCCGGTAACAAAGTCGATGTTATTGCGATTAATTCGATCAGATATTATGAATAAATACTGGCACTTACAAATTGGCAACGTAATTAATTTAATTTCACTTATATCAATCTGGTCAGATAAATTTGTCGGACTACACGTCTTTCCTGACGTAAGATAGACATTGATTTGCCTCAATTGAGATTTAAATACACGTTAAAGATCATTTTAAAGACGTGAGAATTGCCTTCCCTCGATCCTGGATGATATAATGCCGTATAAATGTCTTGCGGTTTTATCGCCTAAAGCGATCCTTAAACGACCAATAAAAAGACATTGTTAAAAACAAAATTAAAAAGTAAAGCAATAAAAGTACACGGATATGGTATAGATACTAGCTTTTTCTCACGACTTTGCCTTTATCAAATAATAAATTGATAAAATGGTTATTTCTTAAGTAAGTAAAATGTAAAATGCTAATTGTATCTCGCTCTATCTATTTATACTACTACGAAGATTGTTATAGCTTCTTTACTCTAATTTTCACTTAGTATATCTTCTAGAAATAACTTCGACTCTTCTAGGAATAGATAAGCATAGGTAATAAACTAACATCACTAGGCTACTAGGTTTTTAAAACCATAAAACCTTTGTGTACGTTAAAAAATATTTTCACTGCACTAAAAAAAAACAACAGGCGAGAGCAAATTCCAAAACATACCGTGCGGTTTTTATTACTGCCGTAAATTAAGGCATGTTAATAGTAGATAAACAAATTAATGCGCAGTAAAAATGAACAATATAGACTTTAGAGTTTACTCTACGTTTTATAGAGACGTATGGTTCGGGAGTTTTAGCGCTGAGTGATCTGAAAACACAGTGATGATTGACCGCTGATACAAACCAGTATTTTGATAAATAAATACACGTAAAAGGGATGGCTGTATTATATTCTATCGATATCGATAAAGTATGAGTTGACTTACTTGACTTGACTTTCGTATGTCCTCGTAAAGGACGTCAACAGTGCGCCGCCAGCTCGCTCCATCTAGGGGTCTGCGTTTCGTCTCGTGCCATGTCAGCCCGATTGTCTTCATGTCGGCTGAAAGTCGGTAGGTAAAGTATTATTGAGTATAATTAATTTAACTTTAAATGCATTAAAATACTTTATACAATAGAGATTACAAAGACACTGTTATATTTTAAAATTGACAGATTTATTTATAAAGAATTAAAGGTATACATGCCTTTAGACGACATTGTAGACGTGTTACTGATGTCTGTGGTTATCTAGAACAGATGAAAAGGTAGATAAGGAAAATATAAATGGCTATAGAAAAGTTATGGCAAAGAATGTCGTTGTGTATCATATAAAAAGACTGGTTTTCTGTACAGTTATAAGTATTTCCAAAATTTATCTAGTCCGTTCCGAATATCGATACGAAAACTAGCATCACTATTTTAAAAGGATCAGTTTAGTGTAAACGAAACGCGTTTACCTAACC